CATATCTTTCGTGGTCAACTTTTTATAAAGGACGGGGACCATTATTTGATGGAATCGGCCCCTGCTTGAATTCCATCGACACATACATGGTTAGATGCAGAATGAACAGAAGAACATTTCTAGCCACTCCATAGACCCTAGAGTTGCTCTCAAAAAAAACTAGGTCGAATTTACTGTAACCAAAGTTCTACTCTTCTTTGTTCAATGAAGACGATCCTGTGCTCCACATTTGTCCACTAGCCACGACGATACATATACCATTCGGTAGAGAATTTCCCGCGCTACAATTTCATATATACAAAGTAGTGAGAAAAGTGTCCTAGGGCATCTTGACATTAGAAATACTGTCTGGAAAGCCGTGATAAATGTGTGGCTTATTCCAGGATGAGGATGCTGTGATCAACGTTTCTCAACTAGCCACTAGAGATGGGACGAAAGACTACCGACATGTTTATAAGAAATGAACATGTTCTATACAAAACATATCTTTTTATTTCCTTATGTCGTTGAACGTTTGGACTAAAGAGAAAGATTTTTGTATGATAATTAATAAAGAAGAGAACATATTGTACAGCAGTCTGTTTCTTCTTTCCAGTTAAAGAACATGTCGGAATCCGTTTATATTTTCGTAATATGTATCGCAACAAAGAGAATGAAGATGATAGACTTGACGACACGTCGTTAAGGAAATTGTTCCATGTATTTCTTTCGTTTAGAAAGGAAATACGCTAATTTTGCGCTAAGCGAAAGACAGGAATAAAAGTTGTAATACACTAATACAGTATAACATAAACTATCATCGACGCGAACGTGAAATAAAATAATGTAATGTATAGAATATAGCAAGTTACAAAATTAATTGAAACTAAAACTATTTATAAAGTTTAGTACATTTTTGCTTGAACTGTGTATTTTCAATAATTTTCTCATGTATGATTGTGTATAGTACAGTAAGCGTTTATTTCTTATCTTGTAAGTTAACTTTATACAATCATTATCCCATTTAATAAGAAAAAACTATAAAAAGACAATAATGAGGGAAGTTATGTCAGTCATATCAAAATATTTTTCGAGATCACATCATGTTACTACTTTGTCATTTTATTATATCCTATCTTCTTTCATGATCTCCACAGCTTCCTCTTCATTCGTTCTTTCTACAACAACTTCTCAAAGCCAAAGTATTTCATTAGCTCATCATAAGACTAGAGTTATAAAACGTAAGAGTCGAAGTTTAGTATGAAATTACTTTTCTAAACTTACCGATGACAATGCATTATGCACACTTTGTCAAGCAACAATAACACGTACAGGAACTACAACATCTTCATTTATTTATCATTTATCAAGTAAACATCCAGAAGAACACAATCTTATGAAAAAGAAATTAAGATCAACCAAGAAATCTGAATTCACAAGTTTACCGTTAGACAATGAACGGAGTCAATATTTAACACGTTTAGCTGCCGAATTCCTAATTTATAACCTTCTTCCTATGAGTCTTGTCGAATGTCCGAAATTACAAACAATTCTTACTCAAATTGAACCATCATATGGGTTACCATGTAGAAAATATATAATGAAAACTGTATTGGAAAAAATGTATAATGATACACGCGCACAAGTTGCCAATGAATTGAAAAATACTAATGGTAAGTCGTCGATCAATTTTTTTCTCAAAGTATGTTTATTGCAAGTACGAAAATCGTTTCACTACAAGAACCTCTACTACCTACTGTACCTAACTAGTCCCAAACTAGAATCACGTGTACAAAGTGAAATCTTTTCCAATTCTACTCTTCTATCTTTTCCCTTACTGGATGATTAAAGAAATATGCTTAACCATATTAAGGTGTATGCTTGACGATGGACGGTTGGTCATCACAAACTGGACAGGCTTATCTAACCGTTACTGCACATTTTATTGCACATTTTATAGCTAAAATTCTTTACATTTACCAATAAGATTGTGATAATTTGTAATGTTTATGAACATGACGCAGACGATAAATTTATCGAGAATATGTCGTTATTATTTGGCTGTTCTTAAAAACATGTCGTTAAGAGTGGAAGAAAAGAAGAAAAAAAGAATTCATTTCGTATCACTGACATTAGGTCTTTCGGAAAGACCTAATATCCTAAAGAAAGCTGAGACTTTCCTCTTTCGAATGATATATTTGAACGATCCGTTGCTACTTGAGTAGTGTTATAAACCATAGAGAAACGAAAGTGTCCGAATACTTATTCCGTTCAAAAAGCCGACAATGT